ACATATTCATTTTTAACATAGAAATCTTCCATTTATATGAAATGTGAATTTTCTGTCATTGTTTCTGTGTGCAGATCCACCTTAGCGATGACTACGGCATGCCTATTCTCAAGAAACTCCTGTGGATTTATGCAAATCGATATCTTGAAATGTTGGAACCAAAGCCACCGGTGCAGAGTCAGGCAGCTACTGCTTACAAGCCAAGATTTGTGCCTCGCATTGTCGTAAAAGGGGAGGAAAGAAGGGTCCCATCTTTGCCGTCTTCCGAGTGGAGGGTAGTGAGATCTGGCAGGAAGGTAATAATATTTTTGCAGGAGAAGAAAGGTGTGTGTTTAACTGTGCTACATATTTTAAACAACTCATATGTGCTCTATCTTTACAGAGGAACCACCCAGGGGAAATGGAATCTTCTTATTCGCAGAAGAAAAGACTGGTTCATCACAAGGTATTTTGGGCTTCTAGCGATTTATAAGATCTAATTGTCAATGTTACTGGTATCTAAAATCAAATTTTTGTTTTGCAGATTCATGGGACTCGAGTAGTCTTGAGAGAGTGTTCCGTACCGCTGAATCCTTCCCGTTTTTCACCTGACATCTTGGTTGCCATGGAAACGGTCTCTCCATCAGACCTTTCAGATGTTCACCCAGGCATTGAGGTAATTTACAGAAGACTGGAAGTAGCATTTACCATCTTAGTATTTTCTCTAATAAATAACCCAAACCTGAAATGTTTGTTATAGACAAAGCCTGTGGAACCTCAAAGGAAGCCAGCTGTCTTGAGGACCAAGCGTGGGAGACAGCAGGTTTGTAAAAGCATAAGTTGGTTAATAATTTGTCATAATAGAATAAAAGTGTTTTGCACATGAAGGTTTAATATATAACTAATAATGAGTTATGAAGCGTTTTAAATGAAAATATTTTATTTAGAATCTTTGTTGATTTTGTGCAAAATAAGCTTAATATCTTTGCTTTGGTTTCAGGTTGAGGCTAAAGCAGCCAAGATGCCTGTCTGCGATGTGCTGCCTTCTGAATCTCAGGAGATGTCGAACTGTCCTGGTCTGTTGTCGAGTCCTCCCAGTCAGTTGGTATGTATTGTGCTGTTTGTATTAATATATTTATTTTCTATTTTTCATAAACTCAAAATGATTTGAAAAATTACAGCCATTACTTTGTTTCATGTGTTGTGCAGAATGTTGGGTCAAAGCAAATATTTTGCGGGGACAGATTATTTGTACTAGAAGTATTTTAAAAGTAACAAATAAGGCATAAGCAATTAATGAGATGCATCTCAATGAATTACTGAAATGTCAATTAACTATTTAAGATAATACAACAGTTCTTTATATGTTAACAATGTTCCAGTTGTAGTTTTAGCTTGAATAGATTTAAATTTGCTAAAATAAATAGGAAATCTTAGCATATATCTTAGGTCAAAAATATTCAAGAGATCAGACTTATTCTGAATTGAACATAAATGCAGTAGAAAATGGTGAGGTTGTCAAATGTGTTGGAAGTGTATTTTACAATTTTATTTTTTTGATGTAGCAGTTTTGTATCTCTACTGTCTTAAATACTTTTGAGGTTAATTAACTAGATTTATTTTACTGCAAATGAGTGATTTCTTTGGAGCACAAACAATGTGGTTAACTGCTGTGCAAGCATAAATATGTATACAAAAAGTAATAGTACATTTGATATACTATGCACAACATGTACAAAAGGAAATATAGTGGGGTATCGTGTTAAATGTTCCTATGTTACTTTTGTTTGAGAAAAAAATAATGCTAGCTTTCTAACATATTTTAGAAAGTGGACCAGACTGTAGATAAGAGTCGGACTGTAGGGAATTACTTGTTTCCTCAGACATTTATAACCAATTAACAGAACACACTGAAAACCACTCATTGCAAGACAACTAATACACATTTCAGCTGTAATTTCACTAAAATAATGTTAAATATCTTGGACATGCTTAATTATTTTATATGAAATGAAACATTCAAATTATGTGATTATCTTACATTTTATTGAGATTATTCAATAACTAAAAATGTTTATTTGCATTTTTGATTTAAGGAAAAGCTTTTAAAAAGTTACAATATAGAAGTATTAACGTTTTTAATATTTCGATTCTAGACGCTTGAGAGGAGTGATTCCCAGCGCACGCAGAAGTCATCCAAAGGTAAGTCTGATCTTTTATGTAGGTGTTCGGAGGGGTTGCAGTCGGCTCTTGTTCCAGGGACATATTTTGGCAGTAATCGGTCTACCTCTGGGGCTCCCATGTCGTGCAGTATTGTAGCCGCAATAAAACACCACATTTCTCCCATTTGTACCTGGAAGACGTCGGATGTAGATGAAGTGTCTGTGCAAGGTTGCAAGTTGGCGGAATATATTGCTCGAGAAAGACTTAGCAGAGGCTCAAAGCCAGAGTTGTGCAAGTTGGTTCAAAATCAGACTATTTTTGGTCAAAACTGGAAAGTACGGATTGTTCATATGGTTCAGAGGAAATTTGATTTCGACCAGGAGGGGGAACTTTATGAATTCTTACAAATGTATTTGAGAGATGGAATGTGCATCTTTCGTCTTCATGAAGCAACGACCTTGGTTGTCCACCATGGAGAGTACTTTGCAGTTGTAGACTTTGGAACACGGAATTCAGAGGGATTAGCATCAGAATCTGGTACACCTGTAGTGGTGTTTAACACAAGCTTATTTGATTTAATGGTTCACTTGAACAAACTTAGGGAATCATTAAATGCAACTGAATATGCAATCCATGCCATTTCTGTAAAAGAGATGTGCAGTAATGACACATCTGGAGCACTGAATGAGGACACACACTCTACCAATTCATGCCATGCTTCAAGTAGCCATGTTGCATCATTCAGTGGGTCATTTCATCAAGGTGCTGATCGCTTTGAATATGGTGGATTGCAATGTGCACCCATTAGTCTTGTTGCTTTAACAAAGCACACACTGAATAGCATTTTTTCATGGAATGCTGACACATTGGACAATGTGGTAGTTTTAGGTGATGAGCTCTACACATCTTTGCATGACAGCAATTTAATCAGTGGTGGACATGAGCTTCTTTCTATTCCAGACTTGCCTAAAAATATTCATGTTGATGGACAGCATTTTGAATGTCTTTATGGAGAGTGTGTTTCTGGAGATGTGGATATATTGGGAGGAGAGTTAATTGAGAAGGGTGTTCTTACTACTCTCTGGGATGGATTGAATAAGATGTGTGGGAAGTATGAAACCTGCTTCATTACACTATGTGGCAGTACTTGTGCCCTCATCAGTGTTAACGGGTGTTATGTTATTGTAGACTCCCATGCACGTAACAATGAGGGCATGGTAGATGCAAATGGTAGGAGCGTTGTTCTTTACTTTAACTGTATAGATGAGCTTTTTGCATATCTTACAAGGATTTCTGCTGAACTCAGTGTCACTCGGAGGTTATTTGAGATCAATGGAGTTGATATTGTTCAGATGGAGTCAAGTAAAAGTGCATCTGAACATTCAGCTGCTGTTCCAAGTAGCAGTGGACTTTTTGGCCAGAGCAGTTGTGATATGCAGGACAATTCTTATGGAGGACATTCAGTTCAACTTGAACCAACAAACCGGGATGATGGTGCTGATGTGGTTGTTACTGATGTCCAAAATAACAAATTGTACTTTAATCCCATCTCTGAAGACATTGCACGGTCACTGTGTGGAAAGTTGAATGTGGAGTTGGAACGGGCAAATTGTGTATCTAGCGTGGTTGGTGAACTAGGTGTGCCATGTATGACAGAAACAATTGTTGGGGATGGAAATTGCTTTTTTAGATCACTTAGTCAAGCCATAAGTGGCAATCAAAAATCTCATCGTAAAATTCGGCTTGTTGTTGTAAACCAGTTACAAAAGAAATTTCACATGTATACAAGTATTCTCAGAAATGAGTATTCTTCCATGTCAGAATACATTAGGATTTCAAGGATGCAATATGTTGGCAGTTGGGCAACTGAAGTAGAGATTCAAGCAGCAGCTGACTTTTTTGGTGTTAATATTTTTACTTATTGCAATGATAAATGGCTTAAATATATTTCTGCAAACACTTTTTCCAATCATGGCCTCTATTTGCAAAATATTGATGGCAATCATTATGAGACAGTTGTTTGTGTAAAGCAGCCCAAGTCACAAACATGTTATGGTTATTGTACAAATGAAGATGTTTCTGGGAAACGTAAAACTCGACAAAAAACTATTGACCAAAAAGTTGCGCGTGTAGAAATGGTAAAAATTGAAAATTCTGTGCAAGATGAGTGTGTAGATAATCAAAATGCGTTTCTATTTACTCCGCTGTCTAGAGTTACTGCTAAAACTTTGTGCAACAACTTAAAAATAGACTTTGAAGAATACAATTTCCAATATTCAACATTGCATGGGCCTTTAGGAAGTGTATGTAAAATAGAAATTATTATACATGACAATAACAGTTTTTTCAGAGCTGTAGCTCATGTACTTAGCGGTTCACAGAATAATCACCGTAAAATTAGACTTGCTGTTGTTTCATATATGGCCAAGAATATAGGAGAATGTGAAGAGTTGTTGGAAAGAGATTATACTTCTGTGATGGAATATGTTAACAAGTCACAGATGAAGTACTTGGGTCACTGTGCTACCGAAATTGAGTTTAAATCTGCAGCTAATATGTTGGGATTAGATATATGTGTATTTAATGGCACACAGTGGACTAAATACAGTTCAAATAACAGTAACTTGACTCATGAGAGTCTGTGTCTTCAGAACTGTAATAATCACTTTGACGTTGTTGTTTGTGCAAAGAAGGGTCATGAAGACTCTTGCTTTAAACTTTGTAATGCAAGTGGTTCGTTACAAACACAATATATGCATACAAGATCTTTACAAGTGCAGGAAAATGCAAAACAAATTCTTAGAAGCAATAAAACAAACTACTGTTTTTCAAAGTATTTTAAACGAAAAAGGAATCGCATGGAATTAGTTC